AATCTCTAACCAGGACTGGCGATGTGTCCTTTGGGGGTGACCTCAAGAATCTCCCCTTGTCTCAGGTTGACTGCATTCACAAGAGTTACTAGCCTGGTCCTCAGAGCCCAATCTGCCGCCACCCCCATTCTCCAGTCATCGTAATAAAGTTATCAGGTCCAAAGGCTTTCAAACTTGCAAGGACTGCCCTGGCGGATCCTTGTGCAAAGATGGCACCGCAGTGACAGCTGCTGGGAGGTGGCGCCACCCCTCAGAAACAAGGACCACAGTTTCATCAGCAAGAGAAGTGGGAAGTCTGAACTTACCCTTAAAAAGACATCGGGGGTGTCCAGGAAGGACGCATCAAAGTAAAGTTTAAGGAGACTCCAGCCCAGCTGGTGTGGCTCAGTTGGTTGAGCGTCATCCCTTGCACCAGAAGGACACCAGTTTGATTCCTGGTCAGGACACATGCCTGGGCTGAGGGCTTGGTCCCCAGTAGGGGGCATGCAGGAGGCAGCTGATCAGGAGGCAGCCGATCGATATTTCTCATCAATGTCTCTGTCTCTCTCTCCCTCTCCCATCCTCTCTTTCTAAAATCAGTAAGACCATATGGGGGGGGGGGGGACTGCAGCCCATGTCCTGGACTTTGGAATAAATTTCTTGTACAGAGCACAGTCTCACACCCCTCAACACCCCTCAACCTTTGCCCAGGCAATTCCTTCCACCAGGCAAACCACTTCTTCCCTGACCACACCCACCAGGCAAACACCTGTTCATCCTTCAAGACTTACAAGTGTCCCTCCTCCGGGACTCCCCACATGGAGACATGCCCCCCTTCTCTGCGGAGGCTTGGAACCTCGAGCAGATTAAATGAAGGAAGGCAGGTGAAGCACATGACACACAGTAGGTGCTCAATAAACAGTCGCCATTAGAACCCACGGCCGTTATGTATCCGCCTTATCTATCTACATCTTGTTCATGACTGTCGCCCAGTGCCTAGCACAGCACCTAGGACATGCAGATAAATATCTGTCAAAAAAAAGACTGACCCCCAAACACTCCACCTCAGCCAAAGTGGTCTATTCGCTATCCCCAAACACACCTCTCGCATCACCCACCTTCGCCTACGCTGTCCCCCTACCCCAATGCCCCTCCTCCTTTGACCTGACAGCCTCCCAGCCCATTCTCGGGCCCCTCTGGACTGTGAACCCTGGGGACTGAGTGAGAGGCTCCCCAGGGCCCCTCACTCTGGACCTGGCACACAGTAGGCCGCCAGGGAATAAACTCATCACCAAACGAGCCAGCAAAGGCCAACTGAGAGGTTTGGGGATTTGGGAGAACATCCTCGAGGTTGCCAGAGGCCCACCTGCCAACCTCGTCTCAGAGAACCCCCACAGCTGCCAAATCTGGGCCTTCGTAGCCATGGGAGGGGCCTCTGGGCACACTGGGACCAGGGTCATGTCCACAGCACAGTCACCATGTTTTGTGATCCCTGCATGAGTGCAGACCAAAGGCTCTCTTTATGGGGAAGAGGGGGTGCACTTACCCAGTGGGTGGGAGTAAGGGAGAGGCCCAGCATGGGGCTCAAGTTTGCCCCATGACACCAAGGACCTAAGGGTACCCCTTAAAGGAGTAAGGGGAGGGGGAGACCAGGGAGTCAGAAAGGTAAAATTCCAGTCCCAGCTCTGCCTCTACCTACTCTAGGACCCTGGACAAGGGATCTCCCTCACCCGGCCTCAGCTTCCTCAACTGCACAAAACTCCTAAAACTGGGGACGATGTCCTGCCCCACCAGTAGCCCTTCAAGAGACTGTATAAAAATACACTGACAGCAAATAGTAGTTGACAACACGGCAACAGCAGGTGATAATTGTCAGACAGTCACTCCTCACCAGGCACTACGTGCTTTGTAAGCATCGTCTCGTGTCAGCTACAAGGTAGAGAAGCAAGAGCAAGCTCAGCAGATGGCTAGGAGTATGACCTTCACACTCAGGCCAGGGGAGGGTACTTATGGCTCTGAGCCTCAGTTTTCTCATCTGTACAATGGGGATACTACTAGTACCGACGCCACACAGTAAGCACTGCGAGTATTAGGTGTTCTTATGACTGCGATTCCCCGTTTTACAGAGGAGGAAAACAGAGGTGCTGAGAGGTACACTTGTTCGCCTCTACGAAGTGATCAGGCCAGACCGTGGGACCTGGCGCTCGGGGTGGGTGTGACTATGCAGATCAGCCCTGGTGGGTCCCAGGCACCCTCCAGAGGGCAGCCATGGCAGAACAGCTGGTGGCCGACACCAGGCTGGACAAATATCACATTCTCAGCCACAGAGCCTAGCGTCTTGTTTCCTCATGGGCTAACGCACACCAAGTCCTGCAGGCTCAAGGGAAGATGGGCTGGCAGGGTTTGGTGACTGGCCAAAAGCACAGCCCCATGGCAGAAAGGACCCAGGTCCAAGGCTGGACGTGAAACACGCTCTAGCGTTTCTAACTGTGTGGCCTTGGGCCAGTAGCTTAACCTCTCTGAGCTCAGTTCCCCCTCTGCAAAATGGGGTTTATACTCCCTCACATGGGGGCACACTAGGGACTGAGACACAGGCTCACAAAACAGGCATGACTCCAACCCTAAATTGGAAACCAACAGCATAAAATTGTCCATCGAAACAGTGTGGGAAAAATAGCAGACGTTTATCAGTGAACCCCTCAAACACCTTCCAGAGTACAAAACGCAGGTCTGACCACCTTCCGGAGGAGTAGGGGCTGCCGGTAGGGCCAAGGGCTCAGAGCCCCAGTCCCCGCCCTGGCGGGTCACTCTGGCCAAGTCAGGCCCTCTCTCTGGGGCTCAGTTTCCCCACTTATAATGATGGAGTTGAAAGGTGAGAAAAAGGGGAGGAGATGAGGGGAAGGAAGAAGGAGGAGGAAGGGAAAGGGAGGTGGAAGCGAAGGAGATGACAAGGGAAAAAGGAAGGAAAAGGGGAGAAAGAAGGAAGAGTGACCACTGACCATTCTGAGAGCTGAGTGATCTCACTTCCTGCTCACGAAAATACTCTTGCAGCCCGAGAGGACCATCCTCATTTTACGGGAGAAAAACGGAGGTTCAAGGAGGTCAAGTCGCTTGCCCAAGGTCACAGAGAGGCACAACCGGAATGTAAGCCCGCTTCATTCAGCCTGCAAAGCCCAATACTACGTGAGGTCCCTGAGTCAGGCTTCGAAGCCATCAGGAAGCAAGCTGAACATCAGCACCTCCTGGTGGCCACTCCCCAGAATTGCAGGCACAAGTCCAGACCACGGAGAAAGGAGGTCTCCCACCCCAGTGCTCCGGTTAAGGCCCCACCCCTCCACCTCTGGAGAGGAGGAAATCAAGCAGGCAGCAATGGGGCGGGGCCTCAGGCGCCTGCAGGAGGGAGCCAAGACAAGCCATGCAAGGACTCCAAGGACAAAGCACCTCAATGGTAGCGAGTGGAAGAGGAGGAGCCGGGCGACCAGGGAGGATGCCAGCCAGCAGAGACTATAAAAAGACCGGTTTCAAATGCTTTTCTCTCTGTAACCTTTGTCTTCACACACACACAGAAGTTCAAGCACGATCAGATAAGCTGCGCCGGTGCCACCTGAGAGTGAACGGAGGAAAGGGTGAGAAAGAAATCAGTGGGAGGGAGCATTCAACGAAGGCACCGGGCAGGTTTCAAATGTGTGCGAGCCTGCAAGTCTGTGGCTGAGATCCGAACGCAGGGGGGCGGGGGGGCTCTCAGCTGCTCGCAGAGTCTCCCAGAGGTCCGAGCTCCTCCGGCTCCGCAGCCCCAGCCCCGTCAGGCTTTCAACGCTGTTGGTGCCATTATCCCATCACCCCGTTCCCCAGAGGGGAAACCAAGGCTCAGGGGAGTGAAGTTTCTTGCCCACGGCCATAGAGCTGGGAGGAATGGACCTAGGATTTAAATGCTGGGGGATCCCCTGTCGCAGAGACAGGAGACCAGGCACGGGGACCACTGACAGGGACAAAGCTGTGCGAGTGAAAAGGACCTGTGAGCAGAATGAGTGTCGCCTCATTAGAGAAACACCTGCCTCAGAGGCCCCCGTGTGGGGCCCGGGGCCCGGGAGGGACTTGGTGAGCAAGTGTAGAACTCAGCAGATCTCCGAGTATCGTGGAACTAAAGTCCAAAAGAAAAAGAAAGCAAAGGAAATCACCGAAAGTCAGAGGTGATGAAGCCCTGGAAGCCATCTGGGGACACAGGTCCTGCTGCATCACTGACCCGCCTCTTTTCATAAGTGAGGAAACAGGCTGAGACAGGAAGTGCTGGCCCAGGGAGACTCAAAACAACGATAATGACGATAACTCTTACTAAAGTGTTTGCTGTGAACACGGGACCACGCTAAGTACTTCCCATTACCCTAACCGACCCCCACATCAGCCCCATGAAATGCAAGTAGATACTATTATTATTCCCATTTTACAAATTAGGAAACTGAGGCCCATCTGCATCCAGAGCTGGAATTTGAGCCCAGGCGATCGGGCTCCGAGCCAGCCTGACCCTGCCTCCCGGGGTGACCACCACTATCAGGGATTGTTCTGCGTGCTGGGCTCTCCACACAGTCTTGCCCATCCTCTCAATGGCTCAGAAGAATTAAGAATCGTGACCCCCTTTTCCAGGTGAAGAAACTAAAGTGCAGAGAAATTAAGTAAATTGCTCACACAGGCTAAGAGGAGATGGTGGTGGGATTCGAACGCAGGACTCTCAGACCCCAGCACAAGTTCTAATGGCTACATGCCAGGCAGCCGGGGTTACCTCTCTGCATTGGGCCGGAAACCTGAGCGGGGGGCAGGCTTTCTCAGCAGAGCCACCAAACGCCCTGCACATCGAGGACCCAGCAGAGCCAGTCGGACACCAGACTCCCAGACAGGCAACTGCCTGGCCGTCCCCGCCTCGGGCCCTGGGTCGGCCGTGCCTCTCCACACAGCCACATCCCCAGTGGTGTCCGATGACCAACACCACCTGAAAATTCCACCCCGGCCACGCGGGCATCACTTACCACAAAGGCCCCGCTCCTCTTGTCCTTGCAGAAGCTGTGGCTTCTCCGGGGGCTCAAGGCCACAGGGGACACCTGCCGGAGAGGCGACGCATCGTCTTGGAGGGCATCCTCCCTCCCCAGGTCTCGTGATGGCACCTGAGACAGGACACAAGGAAAGGACTTTACTGGGGCTTTGCCACATACAGGAAGAGTATGTCACACCATAAGAGTCCATTCTGTACCTAAAGGGGCAAAAAAGAAAATTAAAGCTCAAAACACCACCCACTCTCTGACCCGACAGCATCAATGACGAGAGGTAATATGTAGGATCAGCAAGTTCAGCTTCAGCCTGGCCTCAGGCATTTAATAACTGTGTGAGCTCAGGTGAGTGCCTTAAGCACTCTGATCCTTGACCATGTGGGAAAAGACCAATAACAACAGTACTCAGCTTCCAGGTTCAGGGGAGAACCAAGCAGAGGACAGCACACAGAATGTGTATGACACAGTGCTGCCACCAGGGGGCGGATGTGCACGGTCTAGGGCACCTGCCTTGTCTCATGCTAGTCTTCCACATACGCCTGTCAAATGGGAAGCCCATAAATGTTATTCAGCCTTATTAGCCAGTCAAGCAGGGGAGCTCATAAATGTTACCCAGCCTTATTACTGCCACTGATAACTTTTGGTGACCTCATTTGAGATCTCTCTCCATGCATCCAAACACATATGCACAGAAACAGTATGTAAATAGGACAGTAATATATATGCTAGTCTGAATCCTGTCATTTTTCCCCGCTCAGTTATATATAGGGGACACATTCACAGGCTAGTAAATACAGAATGGGTTTTACATGTCTCACACTCCCCTCCACAGACGAGGACAGGAAAGCCCAGAGAGGGAAGGACACACAGCCCCAGAGAAGAGCGAGGCTGGATTCCCCATCTCTCACCTCAGAGTCTCTTTCTTTGATGCCTTAGGAGACTCTCTGGGTCTCCTCTTACCTCCCTGGCTGGTCCTTCTTGGCCTCCCCGCATCTCAGCGGAAGGTCTAAAGGCAGGTGCATCCCTAGCCAGCCACAGAGCCTTCTCTTCTGCCCACCGCTCCCTCGGGGATCTCTCATAACGCTCCGTGGTTTTAAATCCATCCCATCCATGCACAGTCAGCCCTGTCTCTCCATGGTGGGACTCCGGATCTGCAGACCCCACTGCCCAGCAACATCTCCACCGACTGCTCACGCTCACTGCGGACTTCACAGGTTCAAAACAGGCCTCGATTCCACTCCTCCAAATTGTCCCTCCCTCACCTTGCCCAACACCCAGCTGGGCAGGCCCAGACCCTTGGCCTACCCTCTGTTCACCTCGGTCTATCCACTCCATCAACTGAGACTCTGTCTTCAAAACATGCTATAAACCTCATATCATATACCAAAATCAACTCAAACAGAGGCATAAATCTTCCTGACCTTGGACTAGGCCAGTGTTTCTCTCTCTCTCTCTCTTTTTTTAATGTTTTTATTGATTTTTTAGAGAGAGAGGAAGGGAGAGATAGAAACATCGATGTGAGAGAGAAACATCAATCAGCTGCCTCCTGCATGCCTCCCACTAGGGATTGAGCCTGCAACCCGGGCATGTGCCCTGACCGGGAATCAAACTGGGACCTCTCAGATCGTGAAATGATGCTCAATCCACTGAGCCACACCAGGCTGGCTAGGCAAGGGTTTCTTTTATTTTTTGGTATGTGCCCCTAGTGGGAACCGAACCCGGGACTCTCTGGTACACAGGCCAACACTCCAACCGCTGAGCCAAACCGGCCAGGGCTAGGCAAGGGTTTCTTAAATAGGACCCAAAAGCACCAGCAACAAAAGAAAAGTAGTCCATTGGACTTCATTAAAATAAAAAACTGTTATGCCTCAAAGGGAACCATTGAGAAAGTAAAAAGACAATCCACAGGATGGGAGAAAATTTCTATAAATCATAAAATCCTTTGCCTGATAAGGAACCTACATCCAGAGTACATGAAGAATAATTACAAATCAATAATAAAAAGGCAAATAACCCCATTTAAAAAATGGGAAAAGGATCTGAAGAGTCATTATTTCAAAGAAGGTATACAAAGGACCAATAAGTACATGAAAAGATGCTCAACAGAAACTACAAATCAAAATCATAATGATATACCACTTCCCTGAAACCCACTAAAGTGGCTACAAAATCCCAGCTGGTGTGGCTCAGTGGTTGAGTGTCGACCCATACACCAGGAGGTCGCGGGTTCGATTCCCAGTCAGGGCACATGCCCAAGTTGTGGGCCAAATCCCCAGTGAGGGGCATGCAGGAGGTGGCCAATCGATGTCTTCTCTCATCGATGTTCCTATCTATCTCTCCTTCTCCCTTCCTCTCTCTCTAAAAATCAATAAAGAAAAAAATTAAGTGACTACAATAAAAAAGACGGAGAGAACATTGGCTGGGACGTAGAGAAGTCAGAACCCTCATAGGCTGCTAGCAGGTGGAGCCTATGAACCCAGCCATGTCACTCCTTGGTGTATACTCAAAGAAATGAAAACATGTGGCCACTCAGAAATCTGTACACAGATGTTCATAGCAGCATTATTCATAATAGCCAAAGTGCAGAAACAACCCAAGTTCCCACCAACTGATGCATGGATAAATAAAATGTGGTCTATCCATACAATGGAATAGTACTCGGCCATGAAAAGGAATGAAGTACTGACACATGCTACAACATAGATGACCTGGAAAACATTATGCTAAAGGAAATAAACCGATCACAAAGGACACTATTGTGTGACTCCATTTATATGAAATGTCCAGAATAGGCAACTCTATACAGATAGAAAGTAGATAATGGTTGCCTGGGACTGGAGGGTATTATGGGAATTGGGAATGACTGCTTAATGGCAGGCTTTTCTGGGGGGTGATAAAGATATTCTGAAACTGAGTATGATGATGGTTGCCGAACCCCATGAATACAATAAAAGGCATTGAACTGTACATTGGACATGCATCAACTGTATGGGACATGAATTATATCTTAATACAGCTGTTACCCCCAGCCCCACCCCAAAATCTGTGAACTCCACCACAGCCAGCACCCTGGTGTAAGCCCTGTCACATCTTAGAACCATGGAAGCAGCCTCGCTGGCCTCCCTTCCTCCATCCTCACCCCTTCAGCCACACCCACAGAGCGGGGCTCAGAACCCTTTGGTGGCTCCCATCCGCTCTGGCCCTCGCTCACCTCTCCATCTCAGCTCCGGCCAGCACCCCCCGAGCCCACTGCACCTCCAGCATCTGCAGGACCCGCTCATCCCCATGGTGAGGCATCTTCACGTGCTGCTCCTGCCTCCTCCCCACAGATCCTGGCCTTGGCGGGTCCCTTCCACCCCTCGGATGGCACCTGTTATTCCCATGAGACCACCCCCTTAGAGGAACCTCCCCATCACCCCCTTTTCTGATCTCCCCAGGACTTAAAATTTTCCAAATGAGCCCACTCACTCACTTGAGGTCTGTCCGCTGCTGGGCCAGCGTCAACCACCAGAACCATCTGTGACCATGGAGACGCTCTCTGTCTGGGCTGTCCAGTACCGTCACCTGGGCCACCTGTGGCTTTCCAGCACTTTCACGCGGCAACTGAGGACCTGAGTTTTCAGTCGCACTTCATCTCAACTAATTTTGATTTAATTAACCACACGGGGCTAGTGGCAGATTGAGTCAGTGGGCTGACCCTTCCAGCAGCCCTGGGACACGTACTGAATGCAGTAAACAAGCGAAGGGATGAAGGTCGACCTGGAAGTGCATCCTCTGACCTCAAACCTCCTTTGCATCAGGCCCCCGGGCCAGGGGCTTGACCGTGCATGATTCCGTAATAAATCCCCAGCAAGTCTGTGAAGCAGGGAGGATCCCCATTCTGCAGATGAGGAAACTGAGGCTCAGAAACGTCTGGCAAAGTGCCCGGAGTCACACAGCTGGTACGTCACAGAGCCAGGGCCCGATCTCAGGTCTGTCCAGTTCTCAGTCCAGGGCTGTCCCCAGGTAGAGAGCAAATCAGAAAAGTACAACGGGCTCATCTTCCTGACGAAGAACTCCAGAGCTCAGTGAGAAAAGGACCAATGTCCCAAAAGGCAGCAGGTGGGGGGAAATACAAACGGCCCCACCCTTCGGACACGACAAGGGCACGCATCAGGGACACGAGCTCCAATCTGAGGGCACACCTCAGGCGGGGCCAACCAGCGGGGCCCTGAAAAACAACAACTGCACTCACCCCCCAGACAGGCGACTGCCACACCAAACCGACGGATATACACTAAGTGTTCACTTAACGTCGTCCACGGGGTCTTAGAAACTGTGACTTTCAGCAAAAGCACGAAAAACAAAACCAACTGGACCGTGCGGTCAGATATAAACATAAGTTCCTATGATGTATATCTGGTCAGAAAAACATCACCAAACTTCCAAATAAAGACCCAAAACACATCAAACATGAAACACAGACATAAATGTAAGCTCTACATACATAAGAAAGATGAATAAAAACCAGTAAGATGATGATTTTCCAACCCACCTGTTCCAGTTCGTGGGTGGCCAAAGCCTCTCCCGGCAGCTCAGGGCACAAGGTGGGCCCACCCTGGACAGGACACCCTTCCATTACAGGACCGTTCACACCCATACTCACTAAGATGGGGACACCGTCGACACACCAAGGAACTCGATGTGCACTTCTCTGTAGTGTGGGAGGAAACCAGAGTCCCTGGAGAAACCCAGGAGATTGTGCCAACTCCACAGAGACAGCGGCCCTGGCTGGGAAGCCCTCTCTCTCTCTCTCTCTCTCTCTCTCGCTCGTCAACATTTTAACAAAACGACATTGAACCAAACATCATTCGAGGGCCTGCTGGACCTGCAAATGTGCAAAATGCCGTAGGTACGCACATGCTAGCCGTGACTCGGGCACCTTGCCAGGCCTCTCGAAGGCCATGTTCCCACCTGCGCAGCAACCAAGAAGAATGAGCCTCTCCCTGCGGACGGAACCCAAACTCTCCAAGATGCATTTAGGAAACAAAGGCCGTGGCAGATCTGGGGGGTCCGCAGAAACACTCCACCCAAGAATCCCCTGGGAGCTCTGAAAACTAACAAAGGCGGACCCCACCCTAGAAATCCCCAGCGAACTGGCCTGGGGTGAGGCCCCCACACTGCTTCCTTGTAGGACGCCAGGGGTTGCTCCCATAGGCGACCGCAGGCTCAGCCCCTGGTACGGAATGCTCTCGTGAGAACGGGGGGCAAGAACAAGAATATGCATTCATACCTGCTTGTATTTTCCTGAAAGGAACACTAAAGGAATTTGGACAAAAAGAATCCCGTGATGACTGGATGGGAGGACGGGAGGATGGAGGGCGAGGGGCACGGGACAGGGGGATTTTTACTCCATACCGCTGAGTATTTTTAGAGCCATGTGAAAATATTCTCTCTTTGAAGTGAAAATAAGTAATTTAATTACATGAAACACAATAATCGGGCGTGGGCCAAAGTTTCGATAAATGTTTGCTGAGTGGGGGAAATCGAGAGAAAGGGAGGGAAGGAGGGAGGGAAGGAGCGGTCACTATAATCGCGGCCACACCCAAGCGGGTACAGGAGCAAAGCTGGCCTCGAGTCGAGAAATCGTCACCCAAGGGGGCAAAGAAGTCCAGCAAAACACTCCCTGACACCCTGCTTCTGACCCCACACAACCCAAATGTCCATCCACGGGAGTCCGGATACAACAGCTGGGGCCCAATCGCAGTAAGATCCTTTGCAGCCATTCAAGAGAACGCGGGGGTGGAACGCTGTTTTCCACTGGGAGGTGAAAAGAAGCAGGTTGTAAGATCTGGAGAACGGTGCCATCTTTCACCAGCCAGCATGGACTTGACTAAAACTGTGTCGGGACCACGGCTCCTCGGCCTCGGAGCTGCGTCCATGCGAGGCTGGACGACTGTGGGGGCGGGAGCTATCCCAGGCAATGGAGGGTGTTGAGCAGCACCAGCACCCTTGTCTCCAGCCCCTGGATGCCAGGAGCAATCTCTTCCCTAGTGGCGACAACAAAAAATGCCTCCAACTTTGCCAAACAGGCCCTGGGGACACACTGCACGAGACAGAACCCCGAATGGGCCTGGAGGGGTGTGCCCCTGTCTCCGCACCAGATGCATCCTTTGGAGGGAGGTTTTCTTTCCCCAGCCTGTTTCCATGGCATCTGACATTTCACACAAGCAAGCACTCCCTTCTGCAGTAAGGAGAAGACAGCAACCATACGTCCGCCTATACATTATTGATGAGCAACTCTGTAGTGCAGGAGAATCCCAAAGGATATCAAAAACCGTCACAGCGGCTGCCTCTGGGGGACGGAACAGGGAGGGGGTCTCAGGGGGACACTTTTTGATGCACTCTTGCAAGGTCTGAATTGTCAACAACCAACATTTTGCACTTCTGCATTGCTCTGATTTTTATCTTTTAAAGATGAAGAACAAAATGTCTTCGGGCAGGAAAGAAGGGAACAGGGAGCTGGTCCAAGGCCTCCCAGGCCTTAGTGAGGAAACGGATCCCCTGACAACAGCAATGCTGGGGCCCGCACACCCCGGGCGGGCGTCCAAGGCCAGGCTGGGCCCCTCCACGCGCTCGGACTCCCCACTGCCAGCAGGGCCCCTGAGGAGGCGCTGCAGACAGCCCCGTGACACCTTTCCCAGGCCTCTGCCCTCTCCCAGAGTCCCCTCAGTGACAGCCTGCAGGTGGGGACAGGGGGACCCCTTCTCCAGACGCACCTGTACAGAAGCCGGCGGCAGGCCCTGAGCTCATGCCCACTGGGTGCCCGGTGAATGCCATGCTTCGTCTCCATTCAGCCTAGGAACAGTGTTTGAGGCAGGGATCCCTGTTCACTCTGGTGGGGAAACTGAGGCTCGAGGGGGCCAAGTCCCTGCTTCACACACCGCTGGAAAGTGGCAGAGCAGAGACTCAACCACACGTCTAAATGTGGTCACTGGTCAAGATGTGGGTTCAAAGCCGGACTCCACCCCTAGCCTTGGGTGGGCCTTCACCTCATGATCTCTGCTAATTCTATTGTTTCATTCCCACAACATCTGTTTCCAGGTTGGACCCCTCTCTTTTTCCAGATGAGGAGACTGAGGCTCAGTTGCTCCGTAACTGGCAGAGGAGGGTCCTGGGCCCTGGTTTGCTGATACCACGTCATGTGGGCGGCCGGGTTGCGGGGCACCGCATCAGTTTCCACCCTGCCCCCAGGACCTGCCATGTTTGTTCCACCTCCAAACCTTTGCATGCACTGTGCTCTTGGGAAGAAGGCCCTCACCTGCCCTAATCGGTCTGACCAAATTCATATGCGGCTCTCAGGCATGGGCTCAGGCCAGCACTGCCTCTGGGGTGCCTTCCGGGGCCTGTCCTCCAGTGCCTCACTCGAACCACATCACATCCTGCCTGGGGTCACTGTGATCCTTCTCCCCACCAAGATCGAAAGCTTCCTGAAGACAGGCTTCAAGCCTCAGGTTTCTTCGCCCTCCTCATGGTTCCTCCCCCATTCACCACCAAACAGCCTACTTGAATGCTTGCACGGCAGGCCAGACCTCGGTTCAAACACGAGCTTTGCCACTTGGCGCTGTGTGACCTGGGAAAAGTGACTTAACCTCTCTGAACCTCGGTTTTTTTCCCCACCTGTGCAAGACGATCATACCCACAGCAGATGCTGCGGGCGCCCAGCCCGACACTCAAGTACACACCAATGGCAACGGTGTCCTGCGGTGGGAGGGCTTTTCCTCCCACCACTGAGCTGGCGCCGGGCAGGATGGAAGAGTCTGGATGTTTACAGCCCCAGAAACAGCCTCAGGCAGAGACAGAAGCTAACCAGAAAATACAACTCCAAGTTCCTTGCCCCTCTGGACAGGACAACTCAGAAGGGACCTATGCTGCCCCGCAGAGGTCTCCAGTGAGAAGGAGGCTAGCTGCCCGGAGTGGTGACCTTCATCACCAGCCTTCCTTCCCCTGCCCCGCTCCTCCCCTCCCCCACTGGCTGCTCCGGGGATCACCTCCTAAAACAACTACTCACAAGAATCCACTTCTGCGGAAACCCACACCACAAAAGGCTCACATAACATGGCTCGTTCACACACTTGACAAATATTTCTTGAATGTTCACAAAACGTCAAGCAGGACGCTGACTACTGGGAGGCAATAACGAACTGATACAACCCACTGGCATGCAGCAGGTGCTCAACAAATGATACCTACTCTAGGCCAGAAGTTTCAGGCTGGGGGCTAAATGGAGCCAGCAGACACATTTTTTTTGTTTTTTTAACTGAACAGAATTTTTTAATAAGCTGTCCTCATTTCACAAGGGGGAAATTACATATAAAAACCTGATTGTTTTTCCAGGTTCTCTTGATAAATCGGATCTGCCATCTCAGGATGTCCGTTCTCACTTGTCAAGAACCAGCAGAAACCCAGCAGCCATCGCCCCTTCGGATGCAGCATGAGCTTTCCGTTTGCCGCAGTCTCCACCACTCCCTAGCATCTCACACCCAGCCTGACTTGACTCATGTACACATCACCGGGCCCGCGTAGGTTCTGAATGTGATACTCCCAGCCCACAGGTTTGACCAACATTTGACAACACGGAAACAGCCTTCACACTCACCTTCTGACTGTCTCGAGTCCCCGGGTCCCGCCGACAGGATCCCATTTTGGTCTCCTTAGCCTCCGAACTCTCCCCAAGGAGGTGAGGCCTTCCTCTGGGCTGCTCTCGCCTCCTCTCTCTGGCTTCCTGCATGATGGCCAGCCCTTCTCGGATCTTGGCAGGGGGGCCCTTCTCCGAATAGGCCCTTTTGACATCCAGCGGTGACCTTCCACAGTATTGTGGGTGGTCAGCCCACCGGGCCACATGGCCCTCCTCTGCCCTCCCACAGGATTTCCTCGGGGTCTCTTTCTTGTGGTCAGCCGGGGACAAGCTGGGCAACACATTGGCTCCACTGCTGGGCTCCTCCCAAGTGGCTGGGTAATCCTGACACTTTGGACCGTGATGCTGACTAGCAAAGGCCTTTGTTACATTGTCGGCAATTCCTGAGGCCGTCTTCCCGGGACCCCCAGGGCCAGAAGAGGCCCCGGCGTGTTTGTCAGGAGGCGAGTGTGGCAGAGCCCACAGAGGAGAGCTGAGCTTGGGGTTCGTGGCTGCCCCCGGGGTCTCTGCCTGCTGCTTGCCAGAACCAGGGCTAGAACTGTGGTTGGTTTCAGCAAAACTGGCTCGTTTCCCGAGCCCCTCAGCCTCAGGCCCTTCCTTCGGGCTCCTCCTCCATTCCACCCCGCCTGGCTGTCCTGGCCTCTCCGGAGACCGGCCACTGGGCTCAGCAGGTGGGCCCTCCACCTGCTCCTGAGCCTCCTGCTTCCTGTACTCGGCCATCAGGGCGTCAATGTCAAGAACGCTGGATCTGTAGCCATCTTTGATTTTACCTGGGACCGTCTCATTGACCGCCTCCGTCTTCCTTCTGATGGGGAGGTCCCCGGCTTTAGGGCGACTTTTGAAAGCCGGGGTCGTTTGGGGCACACTACTGGGGGACGTCTTGTTCCCACTGTCCCTCCGGTCATTCTGAAAACCGGTGCCGTCTTCTGGTTGCTGGTGGGTACACACGGTGTCGGCATCGATGATTCTTTCAGTAGAAAGTTCTAGAACCCTGTCCCCAAGAGGCGATGCAGTGTCGGTTGGCTTTGGAGTTTGTGAAAAGCTCATGTGGTCACGCTCTCTGCCCTGAGCCCAGTTCTGACTGCCCACGGTCTCCCGTGGCTTCTCAGGGTTGGGAGAAGCCAAGGCAGAAGGTAAAGGATGAGGAGATGGAGGTGCAGCTGTTTGTTTAGAATGTTCTGTCAAGGTTTTGGGCCCTGACTTGACAACACTCTTTGCTTTTTGAGTATCAGGAATCTGATATGTCACTGCAAAAAATGTCGCCTTGGGTTCCACAGACGACCCCGGCTTCACGGCTGGAAGAGCTGGGTCCCGTGAAACACCCGGGTCCCCCTCCTGGGCCACCACCCTTTTCTGGGACGGCGGAGGTTTCCTTAAGGCACCTGTGGTGGGGCTCAGGTCATCTGAGTGTCTCTGCTCCGCCTCTGAAGAGCTTCCGGGGGCCGGGAAGCCGAACTCGTCAAACTTCACGTCGTAGGGTAAAGTCCGCCGCCTCCACCTCTCGAATCTCTGGTCTGTGGGGCTCACCCTCCGCATCCTGGCTTCAGGTGCCTGGGCCTGCCTCCGGTCGCCCTCGCCGGCAGCCAGCACGAGGGGCCCTTTCTGCACAGGCCCGTCAGGGTGCGGCCGTGCTCGGAAGTCAGAGGGCTCATCCTGAGCCCCGGAAGGAGGGTCCGGAGGGCTGGCCCGGAGAGGACCCCTTTCTCCTGCTGAAACGCAGGCTCCTGGCTTGTTCCCGGCCCCTTCAGGCCCCTGGTGCCGGGCTTCCCGGATGGCAGTCTGGACAGTCCGCACGCAGGTGGCCTCGGAGCCACAGGGCCTGGCCAAGCGCTCGCCTGTGTCCTCAGGACTCACCTCGAAGCCCCTCTCGTCACTGCCCACCAGAGGGGCCTTGTGCCGATTCCCGGAGGCCCCCCCTTTCCACCGGGGCGACGGGCAATCGCCCCCGAACGTGCCCTTTGGCTCTCGAGAGTCAGAGGGGGGCCCGCTGACCTCCTGCGTCCCTCGAGCCTCCCAAATCAAACTGGCCCTCTGCACGGACCCTGCCTGGCTGTCCAGCCGGCACTCCGGGTCAGCAGCGGTGACCTCGGGGGACAGCAGCCCCCCCTTCAGCGAGAGCCGGGACCTGCCACTCCGGAGCGTCACCGCCTTTCCCTCAGGCGCCGTGGGGATGGCCTCACTGTGCGCACGCTCCCCGACAGCGGGCACGATGGCATATTTGGGCTCAACCCTCTGCGACCGGGGAGGGCTCTCCAAGCACTTAAGGAAGGGGTTATGACTGCGTTTGTCGCCCAGGGGGTACTTTTCCGGGAGAGGTGTGTGATACTGTTTGGGGTCACCGTTCAAGAGAAGCGTCTGTCCCAATTTCTCTGTGTTGGGGTTTTCAAACCACGTGGAGTTCTCTTTCCTGAGGACCATCTTTTCTGGAGGGTCCTTCCCCAGCCACGAGCCTCTCTCGGGCCGAGGTCTGGGCTCCGAGACCCGAGTCACAGCAGCGGGGGGTGTGGCTGGGGGACAGCGTCCCGACAGCTCTGCCACAGTGTGTCTCTCCACGTGATGCTCGAACACGGTGGCCCTCACGGTCTGGAAGCTCCCATCGTCTTCCGGGGTGCTGTCGGGGGAGCTCAGGGCCCCCACTGAGCTGGCGCTGTGACCGCGGCTGGGGACTTGGCTGGAGCCGTCCTTCTGCGGTGCCTGCCTGGACCTCTCCGGGAGCGTCCCAGGCTTCCAGGGGCTTCTGGGAACGGACACTCTGTCCAAACCAGGCCCTTCCTCTTGCTGAAAAAAAACAAGAGAAGAAAATAGTCCAACTTAAGTGAAAGGATTCGAAATGGAAAGGAAGAGGGGAGGTCACTGAATGGCTGCCTCTAAAATCCCCGCAGTGGGTGCCCTAACAGTGGGAAGACAGAGCCAGCCCTGTGTGGGCAAGGAGGTGGGCGAGTGGACACTCTCGGGTACAGTGGCAGAGAACGTAACTGGGTAGACTTTCGAACGAGTCAGTATATGTGTCATGATTTTAAAATTCTCCATCCCTTGCATCCAGCCAACTTCCTCCCAGAATTTCTCCTTTGTTCATGAGCGCAAGACTCTGTGAGCAAGGAAGTCAGACAGCACCGTCTGTGGAAGGATGAACAGATGAGTGGCTTTACGTAGAACGGACCCCTCTCAACCACTTTTAAAGACATGATTCCTAAGAGCCAAGGTTAAAAACGTAGAGCGAACCACCGGCCCAACAGTGGTAGCAGTGCCATTCAGAGCCGGCCCACCTTTGCTGAAGATTTATAAAGGGATGGGTTCAAATGGGCTTGGAGCCAAGCTCTCATGCTTAAAAGTCTGCATAAGTCTCTTAAAAAATAATAATAAAACCTACACCTACTATATGATCCAGCCATTCCTACTAGGTATTTACCCAAGAGAAAAGAAAATAGAAGTCCCTACAAAACCTTGCCCACACAGGCACATAGAAGCTTTATTTGCAATGGGCCCCAAACTAGAAACAACCCAAATGCCCATCCAAGGGTGAATGGATCCAGGGTGGTCGACCCATACGATGGAATACTACTCAGCAAGGAAAAGGAATGAGTTATGAATACATGCCACCATGTGCTGGATCTCAAAATAAGTATTCCGAGTGAAAAAAAAGGAAGACCAAAACGAACAACAACCACAAAACATGAGCACAGGTTCCATTTATAGAAGAATCGACAAAATGCAAACTACTCTTTTGTAATAGAAACCAGGTTGCTGGGGGCGGGGGGGATCACGAAGAGGAAACACGTGTGTGCCAGATGTGCATTATCTTGACTGCGAGGACAGTTTCACGGGTGTGCACAGACAGATGTCGAACTCATCCACTGTACACTTCACCTGTGAGCAGTTCACCACTGCATGTCGGTGATAACCTCGCTGAAGCTGTTTTAAAACATTACTCTGCCAAAAGCATTAACCACAAACCAGTTAAACCTAGGAGCTATTTTATGAGCATTTCTTTTCTTATGAAATGAGCTAAATAAAGATACTTTTTGAGCAATTTAATTGCTGGTAATTTCCATCCCGCGGCTGCCAGGTGAAAGTCAGGGCTGGGAAAGACGCAGGGACCGTAACTAGAGAAATCGCAGGGGTTTCTATGAACATTTTAAAATCTTTATTAATTTCTTAATAAAGCAGGCATTCTTACAGAGGAGAGCCGTGTCCCTTTTCCTCTTTGCACAGAAGATTGCACTTGTAACAAGCACTTAACACCAGGGAACAGGGAATCACATGCTGGAAGGGACTTTAGGAGTCCCAGCTTTAAAGGAAAAACTGTCTTATTGCTTGGGGAGGCTTCTGATTCTCTCTGGGTTTTGTGGATCATGAAAGCTCTACCAGTAAGTGTCACTATCCACCCAAACACAATGTTTCCTTACCTTTCCTCTCGGTTCCTTCCCAAGCTCGCTGCTCAGCTCCAAGCACCTCTCGTACTTGACTTCGTTGCTTGAGGCTGAACTTGAAAACCTGGTACAGAGATCTGAGTTAACTGGATGGGCCAGCAGCTGTGACTCCCTCCACCCCACACCTCACAACTAGCGCAGGGACCCAGGGGTGAAATCGGCACTGAGACCCTCAAAGCCAGGGTGCCTGATTTGCTTTTAGAAAAGACATTTCCTTTCTGGTCGCCAAACCAACAGAGAAGGGCCTGGTGGGGACAGCCTACCTTAAACACAGCATCATCAGGGCAGCAGGAGCCCCCGGCTTGGGGGAAGAGACCTGGGTTATGGTGCCAGGTCTACCAACTTCCCACTGCGGGAGCTTGGGACAGGCTCGTGACCTCACCTGAGCCTGTGGCTCTTCATCTATAAAATGGGGATAATTAACACCTCCCCATCGCCTTTTGTAGGGCGGATAAGAGGCTACCCAAAGCCCTAATAGCTATATGAGGGCGTCCAGGGAAGACGGAGGATGCTCCAGGAGGGATAATTAATGGTTGTTGTTAGCAACCACGGGCACAACAGCAGCCCCACGGCAGCCCGGCCACGGGACTCGGGGGCAGTGGGCTGTTGTGGACTGTGTGGAGACACGGGCCTGTCTCTGCCCCCGAGTGACTCTGGCCAGGTCCTCTGGGCCTGTTTCCCCACTTGTGACGGGGAAGCCAGAGAAAGGGGAGTTCTGAGCTAGAATTCTCCCATCTCTGTAAAGCTCCCTGGAGAGGGTGCCTAAAGATTAGTTCAGGGCTGGGGGCTGCAGAGAAAAGAAAGGAGAGAGAAATCAAACCTCTTAAACCTGACCCACACTTGGAGCCTCAGTTTACCCCTCCGTTCGATGGGAATAACTCAAGGTACTGCCGGGAGAGGAGACGTGTGAGGTCCCCGACACTGGTGCCCCTTCTTCTGTTATCTGAACTCAGGGGTTTTCAGGCCGACACATGAGAATCACCTGGGACGCTTTGCAAACAACCAAGTCAGCAGCCCCTGTTCCCAGACCACTGAATCGGGATCTCTGGAGGAGGGACACAGACCCTGGTATTTTTTCCAGGTCGTTCCGAATGCTGAGAGCCACTGGTCTCATTCTGGCCCAGCTGGCTGCCCTAGTTCCCAGGGCTGGGAGGGCAGTCTGCCCAGAGGTCCTGCCCCCTGGAAGCTCCATCCCCAACAAAGTATGTCAGTGGCATCCATGTCATTACTGAGCTGGTGGACACGCCCAGTGACAGACATCTCCCTGTTGTAACCAAGAAGCCACTTGTGAGAAAACAGAGGAACAAGAGATGTCAGAGGTCGTGAAAGCTTAGAAAATCATTACTAACAGGGTTAATAATATCATTTCGAGCTACCATGCATTGAGGGCTTTCCATGGGCACAGTGATTCCCGGCATAATCGTCTCTGAGTCTTTACCTTTAACAAAGGTCTTAGTGCCCTGGCCAGTTTGGCTCAGTGGTTAGAACGTCGGCTCGCGGACCAGAGAAACCCAGGTTCGGATCCTGCTAAGGGCACGTACCTCGGTTGCAGTTTGTCCCCAGCACCGGTTGGGGTTGTGTGGGTGGCAACCAGTTGGTGTGTCTCTCTCATATAAATGCTTCTCTCTCTCTTTTCCTCCCTCTCTCCCTCCCGCTCTGTGTGAAAATAAATGCAAAAATGTCCTCAGGTAAGGATAAAAATAAAAATAAAAAGGTCTTAGAATCATGAGATGAAGAAACCGAGGTTCAAGAGGGGAGGTGACTTGCCCAAGTCATGTTGACCCATCTAGTTTTATTTTGCGGACCACTCATGGAGGTTTCGGCCACATAGTAAGTGTACACAGACTTCGGGAAAGGAACGCTTAGCCATGGAGACAGGCTGCGCTGGAATCCATCGGGCTCCCGACTTCCTCACGGTGCTTCACCTTTCCTATCCCACTCTGTGAAATGGGCACACTGCCTCCCGCACGCAAAGATAAGAAGGGACAAGAGCACCGAGCGGCTGGCCCGCTGCTGGGACACGGCTCATCTGGGCAATGGGAACGAGCCCACGTCCTCAAGGCTGCCAGTGACCCCGGAGAGGAGGTGGCAGGTGTCCAGCACGGAGCCTGACGCCCTGCAGCTCCTTACCCGGGGCCTCTGGTGGGCGGTCGCTGGCCGCTCAGGGACAGAGTGAGCCCCGGGAGACATTCCCACTCACAGTTTGGTCAGATCCGCCGACAGTGGCCGTGCCTGGACCGCCTTCCTCCTGACCTCCGGCTTGGCCTCGGGGCTCTCGGTGGCCCAGCCTTTGATCCGCTCCTGGACGCTCACCCCCGCTTTCTCAGGCTCTGGAGCAGCCGATGGGGACTTGGGGGAGGCGAGGGGGGGTTCACACCCCACTGCCAAGGTGCTGTCCTCCCCAAACAGGCTGAGGCGCTTCTTGACACTGCCCCTGGAGGCCCACTGTGCCCGGGTCTCCCCATCCGATGCTCTGCTCCTGACCTCGGCACGCTCTTGGCCTCTGCCCCCTGGACGGGGCGAAGGGGACTCGGGAGGCTTCTCTGGCTCCCCGGCCAGCTTGGCTTTCTCCTCCCCGAGCTTCGGGTCGTCGGTGGAGGTGGCCCTGGCCGTGGCTGAGCCCCCTGCGGCTCTGAGGCCACCCAGCTCCGCCTGTCTAGAAAGCACCTTCCGCTCTCGGATCCTCTTGGTCACCTCCAGGAAGTCTGAATCGGGGTCACGAGGGGGGACCTCTGCTGGGCCCAAACACTCCCCATCCACTCTGGGCTCCTGGCTGCACCCGTCGGGCCCCCGACGCTGGACAGCGGGACCTGCGGTGGCCTCGGCGGCCACCTTCTTCAGCAAGGCCTCTCTGCTCTCAAACGGGGCGGTGAGGTCCATGGACAGTGGCCTGGGCCTCCTGACCCACGTCTTCTCGGGGGGTGTGGGGGGGGCCTTGGCCCCCGCGGCCGCCCCGCCCGGGCCCGGCTTCTGAGGCTGAATGGCCTCGGTGAAAATGGCCGACACCGGCCTCCTCTTGGGGCGAGGCCTGGGCTGCACCCCGGGGCCGCCCGTGTCCCCCGCCCCGCTGGCCTTGGACACCGGCTCCCTGGGGCCCGGCTCCTCGCGGGTGGCGGCCGGCCTTGTGTCCTGGGGCAGGGAGGCGGGTCGGGGAAGGGTCCCCCCCGGCTTTCGGGCGGGCAGGGCGGGCTTGGCGGCCACTTCGGGCCGCGGCCCCGAGGGGGACGCAGGAGCCCCCGGGGCGCCCTCACTGCCCGCCGTCCCCGGGGCGCTGGCGGCCTCCAGGACCAGCCGGGGGGCAGCGGCGCCGGGCCGCAGGGGGGCGGGCGGGGCGAACAGGGACGCGGTCCTCCGCAGGCCGTCCCCGCCGCCCGCCCCCGGCCCCGCCAGGCTGGGCATCCTCTCGCCCGGCGCCTTTGCCCCCGCGTCCGGCCCGCAGGAAGGGGCAGGCCTGGCGGGGCCGGGCCGCGGGGCCCCCGCCTTCTCCTTGAAGAAGGGCTTGGGGGCGAGTCTCGGCAGAGGGAGCAGGCGCGCCGGGCGCCCCAGCGGGCTCTTCCCGTCCAGGAGCCGCGCGGCCGGCGCCCCCGCCGAGTCCTGGCGGAAGTAGGTCCGCGGCAGGGTCTCCTCCTTGGCGATCTCGCCCAGGCCCGGCACCCCGGGCAGGGACGCCAGGGCGCCAATCTCCACGCGCGTCGCCATGGTTATGGTTGTGGATCCATGGGGATTCAAAGCCGACGTGGAGAAGCCACTGCTGGACAAAGAAAAGGAAATTTAAAATGCAGTCAGCGTCCCGGTGGAAACAGACCGGAGCCCCAAGTTCTGGAAAACAGCTCCCCACCGATGTCCCCGGGCAAGCCTGGGCCAGCCTCGCCACCTCTGCACCCTGGGCAGGGGAGGGGACCCAGTGGCTGTCCCTGGGGTTCCTTCCAGGTCAGAGGGTGGGGGAGGCGCCCCCATGCTCCAGGACTTCCCGACTCAGCTCATCTCAAGGCCGCTCTTGGGGTAAAAAGTGATGGTCTCTGCTGTGCAGATAAGGACATCGGCTCAGAGAGGCCCAGGGACTGGCCTGGAGTCACCCCGAAAGAAGACAGCCAAGTCAGCATTCGAACCCAGGACTCCACACTCACCCTACACGTGCCCAGCATGAGCCCCAGGGACAGCATCCACCAGTGCCCACTCCTGTCACCTGTTGTCCCATTTCAGAGCCTGCCCACTGGGCATCAGGCATCCCAGCTGATCCTTCTCACAACTCTGTGCTGAGCGCCGCACACAGAGAGGGTAAGTGACCAGCCCCGCTCACACAGTTACCCAAAGCCAGAGTCCCTGAGGTCACAGAGTTGCGAATGGCCACAGAACCCAAGCCTCAGCACCCAACCCCACCGGACTGTCCCTCATCTTCCGCTCCCCCACCCCTCCGGATGCCTTAAGAAAAGCCATCTTGATTTTTCACTCATCTACGGTTGTTACTTGCCTTTGGGTTCCTTTCTGTCGAAGGCCTGTTGGATGCCGGCTGCCTTCGTAGCTATGAGAGTAATAGCTGGTGGTGAGGGCATACCATGAAGGTGGCCTCAAGGCAAGCCACGTGCTTCCTGCGTTTTACAAATCATTTCATCCTCACAACCCTATGAGGTGGGTACATGATTACCAGACCCCATTTTGTGACTCGGACATAGCCCCTTGTTCATGCAGCTATGTATGACCTGCTCTCTCAAAGCAGGAGCCTTCCTCTCTCATTGATCCTCCAACAACCCCAAGAGGCAGGTATTATCAGTATCTCCCTTACAGAGATAAAGGGAAAGGGCCCAGAGAGGTCGTCTGACTTGCCTACATCACACAGCTGAAACTTGCCCTCAAGTCCTCAACCCATTCAACTCTGCCTTTTAAAAAAATTACATTTTATTCCTTTCTGGACTTAAAAAGTGCCAGACAGCCCTGGCCAGTTTGGCTTAGCGGTTAGAGCGTTGGACCATAGACTGAAGGGTCTCAAGTTCAATTCTCAGTCAAGGTCATGTACCTGGGTTGCAGGTTCGATCCCCGGTCCCACTCAGGATCATGAGGGAGGCAACCAATCGATACGTCTCTCTCACATCAATGTTTCTCTCGCCACTCCCCTCAACCCCCCCCCCTCTCCCTTCCACTCTATCTAAAAATCAATGGAAAAATATCCTTGGGTAAGGATTAACAGCAGCAGCAAAAGCACCAGACAAGTCACTGTTCTTGATTCCTCCCCAACCCTGCCCCCACCTTCACACCAGTATTCCTATTCCCCGAAAAACCGGCCCCAGCCTCCCCCACCCAGATGGACTAACAGTAGAAGGAATTTTAGTTCAATGCAAGCCTCCTGCTTCCCTTCCTGGGGCCCCGCGCTGTCCCCCCGGCTCTGACTCACACAGCAGGAAAGGAAGGCAGACAGATTTTGATATTTTCTCTTCCGTACACGCTCGATGGTGCTGACAGATTCTTTCTCCCCAAACCGGAGAACACTGTCTAGACGTGTTAGAAGCAGAAGAGGGGGACAGATATGGAGAAGCAGGGAATCTGAGAAAGGGAGACTTCCACCTGGAGTGACACTGGGGGTCCTGTCCCAAATCAGGACTGTTCACCTTCAGAGCCAACCCCCACCACCTCTGGAAATCCTGCTCAGGGACACAGACATGGCCCGAACATGAGACACAGGGCAATAACAGGACTCAAAGGAGGCGCCCTCCACCCTCTGGACACTCCAGCCCCACTTACCAGAGCTGGCAGGCCCTGGCTGGGGATGTGTGACTACCAGAGAAAGACAACGGTGTCACATCTCATCGGGAATGGGGCTGTCCCCACGCTCCTGTGGCAGAGGCCGGCGGGGGAGGGGAGGCTCAGCCCTGCAGGCTGAGAGTCTCAGCAGGCCTGGGGAGACACGGACGACAGCCCCGGTTCTGGAGTTCCAGCGATGTGTGCACAGATGGTGCAAAGGCCTTGGAGCTCCAGCTGCGTCTGCTGGCACCTCCTCCAGCCTGTCAAGCTCATGCTCCTTCCAGCTTTTCAATATCGCAGCCTTAGATATACATGCGTATAAAGAGTGCTGAGTCCGCAGTAGGTGCTCAATAAAAACCTCCCCTGTTCCTCTAATACATGTTTATTGAGCATCTACTACATGCACAGAGATGAGCAAGAAATATGCTCTGCTTTTGGGGAACTCAGTCTTGTGTGAGAAACACACACATACAAATAATTACAACACTGGGCAAATACATCAGGGTACGTGGGAGTCCAGGGCTCCTAGAATTGGGAGTGGTGGTCCCGGAAGTCTCCCTTGGCTTAGAGGAGGTGACTATTGCCCCCTCAAGGTGCTGGCTGATTTGGGAGCTATTTTTCCTGGTTTTCCTGCTCAGTAGTGTTTATATGTTGTGTCTCTAGGAGGTTCTCAAATGCCTCCTCAGGGCCTTTGCACGTGCTGTGCTTGCTCTCTGAGATATCCTTCTTGCTGAGACACAGGCCCACCTCTGAGATCATAGCTCAGACATCCCCGATCCCTTCCAACCTAGTACAATCTCCTTCTTACATGTCCACAGAGCCCCACAGAGCCTCAGGAGGCCTCATCATAGCTACACAGTGACATTTAATAGTGCACGATACTTCACTTCAGCCTTTCCCAGTCCCATTCCATGGTAAGCCCCCAGAGGGCACCCTGGTACCCAGTAGTCAGCACGGTGGCCTGGCATATAATAGCACCGACTACATAATTCCTGAGTGAATGAATAAATGAATGAATGAAGAAATAGGCTCCTGGCCCCACTCCCTACTCTTCTGAGATTCTGAATATGTATAGAGGTCATGAGTTTCATGACACTAAACACTCTAGAACATCAGATGAGTTTCTTACCTTTGTTTATCATTTATTTATTTTATCCTCACCCAAGGACATTTTTGCATTTATCTTCAGATAGAGCAGGAGGGAGAGAGGGTGGAAGAGAGAGAGAGAAACATCAATGTGAGAGAGACACATCGACTGACTGCCACCTAAATGACCCCAACCGGGGCCGGGGACAAACTGCAACCGAGGTACGTGCCCTCAGCGGGAACTGAACCCTGGTCCGCGGGCCGACGCTCTAACCGCTGAGCCAAACCGGCCAGGGCGAGATGAGTTTCTCTGGCTCTGGCAAGATACAGAGTGGCCATAGGTCAACTGCTACAGGATGACAGAGCCAAAGAGCTGTGGAGAGTTTGCTGGAAGCTCAGCTTCACCAAGAGGCCTCGCCCATTGCACTGGGCCACAGTGGGGAGACCCACTACCAGACATCTGCCGCCACGGTATTAACCCCACACGGTCACGCCAACTCGTCTGCCCAAGCGTGGAATGAACGCTGTTCTGCATGTTTTCCTAGGAAGGGAGTCACCAGGGGCAAACACTGCTGACCTAGGATCAATGGTGTACAAATGTCACCCCACTTTGATGTCACCCCACTTTGGCATCACTGAAGCCATCTCAGTAGCCCTCTTGCAGGGAAGGAAAAAGGGAAAGACGCTCTGGCCGGGTAGCTCAGTTGTTTGGAGCATCGACCTGATACACCAAGGTTGTGGGTTTGATCCCTGCGCAGGGCACATACTAGAATCAACCAATGAGTGCATAAGAAAGGGGAACTATAAATCGATGTTTCTCTCTCTCTCTCTCTCAAATCAATCAATAATAAATTTAAAAAACAGAAAAAGTAAAATATAAGAGAAAAAAGCCTCTTGGTCCACACCCCTCTTAACCAAAGCAGTGTTTCTGTTATCTGTAATTTAACATTTTTAGGCTTCCTCTCAAGTTTCCATTTAAAATACCCAGCAAGCCTGCCTGGCATGGCTCAGTGGTTGAGTGTTGACCCGTGCACCAAGGGGTCACCGGTTCGATTCCCAGTCAGGGCAATGCCCAGGTTGTGTGCCCAGTCCCCAGTGTGGGGCATGCAGGAGGCAGCCAATCGATGTTCTCTCTCATCCATGTTTCTCTCTCTCTCTCTCTCCTTTCTTCTCTCTCTAAAAAGCAATAAAGAAAAATATTTTAAAAAAATACCCAGCAAATGCCTGGTATAGAAATATGATCGCATGAATGAGCCCATTAAATAATTAATAAATCAATGAACAAAGGGGGGGCGGTTTAAAACACCATAGTGAATGACTAAATAAAACTTAGAAGTCTTTCCCAAACCTAGAGAAACCCATGCTTCTCAGGTTTTCACTTAACCTGTTATAAGACACAAAGACATGTATTGAAATACATGCTTTAAACCCCTATTTTAAATGCATCACATATGTTCTGCCTAATTTAAGAGATGGCAGTCTCTTCCAGAACATTTCGGAAGCCCGCGCACCCAGTGGCCAGATGCTCTGCTCAAATGTATTAGTGTGGCCACAGCCAGGTAAACAGGAGCTCCCTGAAGCGAGGTGGGGCGCCAGGTGGGAGCCATCTCTTTTTAATCACCATACAGGTCACCCTGGGAGACAGACAGGGAGCAAGCCTGACCTGGGATGTCAGGAGGCTGCATTAGACCAGGAGACAGAAGATGTCCCTCAGACCTCAAGCAGGGGGTGGCGATGGGTATGTCTCTGTTTTTGCTAAACCTGCCAAGTCCACGGGCTCGATGATCCTGAATGGATTTGCAAAATTTAAAATTCCATTTCCTGCAATTTCATGCAGCGAAAACCATTTTCCCTGGGAACTGAGTCACCGAGACCAA